ATATCCAGTGATCAGGAAGTAGGTGGTTGGAACTATGTTTTCAGAATTCTATCCTAAAGGATGGATATATTTAAGAAACTAGTTGCTGGGTACATTGAGAAATCCAAACTGAGGACAGGTGACAAGACAGGATATCTGGGTGGGAAGAGTTGGGGAAGAGATGATACCAACACAGCCCTGGAGCTTCTGCAGTACAGAGCAGCCAGGAAGGGCTTCGGAGCCCAAGAAGCAGAAGCCTGATGTAAGTATCAACGTCTTTTGTCGTTGTTGTTACTATAGTGAAATATCTGAGGAAAGCTCCTTTATAAAGAAAGAAGACTTATTTTGGCTCACAGTTCTGGAGGTACATGATTGAGGAGTCGTATTTGGTGATGGCTGCCTTTCTTACAGAGACCCAGGGTGGCACAGGACATCAGGCAACAGGCAGTATGTGTGTGTGTGTGTGTGTGTGTGTCTGTCTGTCTGTCTGTCTGTCTCCCTCTTATAAAGCCACTGGGATTCAATTTTCAATTTCTGGAGCTCCACTTACTGACTTTATCTAATCTGAACTCATCTCCCAGGGCCCCATCTCTAAACATCATGGTCAGATTAAGCCTCACAATGAAGATTAAACCCAGCCTGAATTTCAGAGGACAAACCATATTCAAGCCATATCACATACTAAACCATAATCTTCAATTAGTGTTCCTGTAGAAGACTTGCCTTCTGGTGACACATTGACTGAACAGCTACATTGTAGCAGAGTATTGTTTTTCAGTGGTATTTTTCTTTTTTTAAAAAAAGGATTTACTTTATTTTTAATTCTCTCTCTCTCTCTCTCTCTCTCTCTCTCTCTCTCTCTCTCTCTGTGTGTGTGTGTGCATGTGAATGCAGGTGCTCAAAAAGGCCAGTGGAGTCAGATTCCTCTGGAGCTGGAGTTACAGGCGGTTGGGAGTCACCTGATATGGGTGCTGGGAATCAGGCTTCGTCTCTCTTTGCTTTGTTGGTTATGGAAGGAGCTTCAGATTAGCTGCTGGGAAGCATTTACAGCTTAGGAGATTTTCTTCCTTAAACTTTAACGATATGACTAAGTTATCAAAAATACTTCTTTAGGGACTTTTAAAAACAAAAATGGAAGAAGAGGGACACATGAAAGTAAAAGTTGTCAGTGTTAGGGAGGTGGGATGATGGAATTGATTTCCTTTAAAAAAAAGAATTTGTTGTTGGAATGCTTCTTGAATATAAAACGTTTTCCTTAATGGAACTTCATCACCCAAGGGGTGGTTGCTTCTGCCTCTAGAGCTTGGAGTTGTTCCTGAAGCAAGGGGAATAACTCGAAACTGCTGGTGGATCAGTGAGGTGAGACTCTTGAGATGGGTTTCGTGTTCTTCCTGGAGCAAGAGAGCTGTCTGAGCTCTACCTTTAACAAGCTGACATAATCTAGCTTCTTTATATCATCCTCAGAGTTGGGCTATTTTCAAATTATCCACACTCCACAGAGAGCTTGATGACTTGAGAAATACTATGACTTTGAGCAAAGAGGCCATTGAGTCTCTTGGGTAATACAATAAGTCTTCACATGACTTCAGGCTGCTGTGATTTATGCTGAAAATATGGTGAGAGAAACAAACTAGTGGGTAATAGGAGAAACCTCTCATTGATACTGGAATTTAAAGCCCTTGTCTACCAGTGCCTCCTTCCCCAGGCACTGAGAGGCCACCAGTCTCACCAATCAGGATAATGAGACCATCAGTCCCCCACAGTTTCTTGGCCTAACCTGTCAAGCACACACCACTGTCATGTGGTAAGCCGTCCTCCTTACTGTCAGCCTTTGCTGACATACTTTTCTGATCTGGAAGTGTCTATGGGTTTATAAGCGGTACCATCAGTCAGTGTCTTAGCTAACTCTCTTCATATTCTCAGTGGGCTAGGTGGTATCAAAAGGTGAGTGGAGGGGCTCAAGAGATGGTTCAGCAGCTGAAAGCACTAACTGGTCTTACAGAGGACCTGGGTTTGATTCCTAGTACCTGCATAGCAACTAACAACCATCCATAACTCCAGTTCCAGGGGATCCAATGCCTTCTTCTGGCTTCTTCAGGCATTGCACAACATGGATGCACTTACACACATGCACTCATACACATAAAATAAAAATAATAAGTAAAATATTTTTTAAAAGGTGAGTGGAAAATCTGCTAAATGAATCTAGGACCATTATAAGACCCAAAGACATATTTGGGGAGCACAATGGAGTCGATATTAAACAAGTCAGTAGAGTGTATCAGTTCTTAAGGTATCTTTCCTCCATGCTTTCTGGAAAACCAGGAAGAAAAATGACATATATTAAGTCTTTGGGGTACCATTCCTACAGATGGTCAATTTTCTACCTCTTTTATGAAGATTCAATTCAGTTAATAATAAAAATTTGGGTTCAGCACCTGCTATGGATCAGGCTTTCTGATGTACATTTCACATACATTATTTCATTTAATCCTATGCCCCTCCCCCCATTTTATAGAATGAAGTAACTGAAGATCAGCGACATTAAACCATTTTCTAAAATGGTTTAATCACAAAGCCATCCAGGCATGGTGGCACACTTCTGTAATCCCATCGCTCAAGAAGCTAAAGCAAGAGACAAACTTGAGGCCACCCTGAACTATATAAAGAGATACTACCTCACAGAAAAATAACAGAGGTAGCAAGTAGGCAACCCCAGTATAAGTCCTATTCCCATCTGAATCCAAAGCCCACGTCTTAAATTCTCACATGCTGTAGAGTAGTAACTTTGTAAGGTTCTTCAGAACTCCCCCTGAAGTGAGGTCAGTGTGAAGAAAGGATAATCTTGCAATGGCAGAGCTGAAAAACACAACTCAGAACTAGGAGGCCAGCGTGAAACTAGGTCACTGAGCTTAGGAAATAGGCTTCCTACTCTCTTTGGGGGACATTAGCTCCTTGGTCACAACTCCCAGGCTTCTACAATCAGGACTCACTACCTCACATCATCCACTCGTTCAAACAAATATTTAATTAAACATCTACCATGTGCCAGACAATAGGGATGTAATGCTAAGGCCTAGATATAAATAATGACTGGGAATTAAGTAGACAAAAAGAGGAGGAAGACTGCTCACAGCTCTCCAGCCATCCTCTCCTTTCTTCCTCTCAGTTTAACCACAGTAGAAACTTGAGTTCTAGCAGATGGAGATGAGGCAATGCAGGATACAGGTTCTGCAGGTCTTACCCTTCTAGACCAACCCTGGGAACACTGAACTCTATTCACCAAAGAGAAAAAGA